GTTGACACAAATGTATCAATATTGCCTAGAAGCTTTAGTGATACTCATACAATTCACTTGAAACTCATGAGACAAATGAAAAATAAAAATGCCTTTATGTATGAAACTATTCGACCAAAAGTAGTAAATTCGGCTGTTAAATATCTTGTTGGACAAGAACTATATAAAGATGAAGGTATCGTTATGTCCAGTGACTGGTTGAATAAATATTCCAATGAAAGAGAAAATTTCATTGTCAATGATGAAGATAAAAAAGTTGATGACAATGAAGACATAAAAAAGGAATCAGGATTTGATGATGATGTTGACAATTGGAATGAATCCGATGATAAACCAGCTAATCCAGCAGTTACTGAAACATTATTAAATGATGAGATTGAAGATCAAACTGATGTTGGTATTAAATTTGCTCCAGCAGAAAATAACAGACCAACATCAGTTTTAATGGATATGAAAGTTGACGAATTAACATTTCCGAAAATTTATTGTGGTAAACAAAGAAGAATCAAAGAAAATGTTAAATTGACTTATGCTAAAATTGCTAAGTCAGAACTAAGAATGTTCGATCGAAGATATGGCAGAATATCGAAACTATTTTTTACCTATAAGAAATTGCAAACGAGAAAGTTTTCAGATGCTATTTCAATAACTTTGAGAAAAACAAAAAATACGAGAAATCTAACTGCTACACAAATGCTCAATCGAGATTATATCAATGGTTTAGTACATAATGATGATGCTTTCACATTCTTAAGATGTGATCGATCCTCACCAGCATTTTGAGAACTGAAGAAAAAAGAACTTATGGCTATGAACCGACAGTTAGGTTGTGCCACATTGTTTTTGACTTTATCAGCAGCAGAAACAAAGTGGTCAGAACTTATTGTAATCTTGACTCGAGTGTTGGAAGATAAAGTCATAACATTAGACGAAGCCGAGAATGTGTGCTATGAAAAAAAAGTGTGATTTGATCAGAAAAGATCCTGTAACATGTGTTCGTTATTTCGAACATCGAGTAAAATGTCTATGGGAAATATTATCAGCTCCTTCTGGTCTATTTCAAGGCTATGAATTAGAAGACAAATATGTCAGAATTGAATTTCAAGCTCGTGGTTCACCACATGTTCATGCCTTAATATGGTTAAAAAACGCTCCAAAATATGACAAAAATAAACCTGAATCAATTAAAAAATGTATAGAATTTATTGATAAACTGATTTCAGTTAGTTCGAAACCAACACAATTTTCTGCAGAACTTATAAGTTTGCAACGTCACAAACACTCACATACTTGTAAAAAATATGTGAATGGTTGTATTATATGTCGTTTTGGTATTCCATATTTTCCAATGAGAGAAACTATGATTATGGAACCATTTGATGACGACGAAAAGTTAACTAGAAACGAACGTGACGAAATAAGTAAAAAGAGAGAGAACGTAATGAAGGAGCTTGATAAATTATCAAAAGATATCGATAATTTATTAACTTTTGATGAATTCTTGGAACACATTAATATGAATGAAAATGATTATATTAAATTGATACGAGCTGACTTAAAAAAAGCAAAGGTCTTCTTGAAACGTGCTCCAAATGAAGTTAGAATCAATGCATATAATCCACAAATAATGTCATTACACAAAGCAAATATGGACATTCAGTTCATTCTTGATCCTTATGCATGCTTAAAGTACTGTGTTGAATACATCAACAAATCTGAAAATGGCATGTCTAAACTTCTACGAGAAGCATTGAACGAACTAAAAAAAGGCAATAACACAGTTCGAGAACGTCTTAGAGTTATTGCAAATAAATTTTTGAATTCAAGTGAAATTTCAGCACAAGAAGCTGTTCATCATATTTTAAGTATTCCACTTTCCATCAGTAGCAGAAGTACTGTATTTATTAACACAAATAGACTTGAAAACAGAATTTCTATGCTCAAATCAGATGAAATTCTTCAGAAGTTGTAACCTGATTCAAAAGAGGTTTTTGTTGAAGGTTTAATTGAGATGTATGCTAGTAGGCCTGACGAAATGAAAAATGTTTGTCTGGCTGATTTTGCTTCGATGTATAATATCTCAAAGAGAAGAATAGATATTGCTCAAACTACAGAAAATTCTGATGATGAAAATATCACAGAAGATGAAAATGATGATAAAAGTACTGCTTTGAAGATGAAAAATGGAAAAGGTTGGATTAAAAAAAGAACAAAGCAGAAAATCATAAGATACAGATACTTTAAGCTACATCAAGATGCTGAAAACTATTATAGAGAGCAGTTGATGTTGTTTCTACCATGGACTAATGAAGAAGAAGAACTTATTCACGTAAATCATGAAGAGAAGTTTGAATTGTACAAAGATATAATTCAACAGAAAAGATCTGAATATATTCATCGTGAAGCTAATGAATTCGACCAAGCTTTAGAGGAGCACAACGAAAATGAAGATGAAGATGGTATTGATGACACAAATGTCGAATACGACTAGGATAAAAATGAATTTCTCATCTATGAAACAGGAAATACGGAAGGTGATATTTTTGTTGAAATGGGAATAAATACTCGTACTGAAAAAGTCGAACACTTTAATGCTCCCAAAATAATACCGGACACGGAATACCAGCAAATGATGAGAAATCTTAATAGTAATCAAAGGAAATACACTCTAAATGTAATGAATTTGATTAAAAGCGGTGAAAATCAGTTTTTTCATTTCATCAATGGAGGTGCAGGTGTTGGCAAAAGCACTCTAATCAAAGCAGTGTATCAATCAACATTGAGATTTTATAATTCACTGCCAGGATATAATCTAGATAGTATTCGTACTGCGCTATGTGCACCAACTGGCAAAGCAGCAGCATTAATTGATGGAATGACTTTGTATTCATTTTTAAGTCTACCAGTAAATCAATGCAAACATAAGCTTGTCCAGTTTTTTCTTCGTTGAATTTAATCCATACTCGACATGGTACTGTTTCATTAGTTTTCTGAAGTTTTCCATAATCAATCAT